TTACATATGAATATAAATATTATATGAATATAATAATTATATTATATGATATAATATTTGTATAATAATTTCAATATTATATATAAATATTATTACATATAAATATAAATATAATTGTTATATTATATAATATAATCATTGTATGTTAATTCAAATATTACATAAATATAATAATTCTATTACATAATGTATACATTATATAATAATTTAAATATTATATGTAAATATTATTACATATATATATAAATACAAATATTATATAATATTTAATTATATTTAATTATATTAAATATTATATAACAATTGAAATTATCGAACTCTTCTTTTTATGTTGATTTTTCTTTTTTTTTTTTTTTTAAATATAAAAAAATATAACTTTGCTGCCGGGTTACGCTTCTAGAATAAGTAATTTTTACAAAAAGAAAAAAAATGAAATGAAAAATAGGGAATACTGAAAAGAAAAGAAAATAAAAAATAGGGAATACCGAAAAGAAAAGAAAATAGAAAATAGGGAATATAGTCAGTTTATATGATAAGAAAAGATTTATTGTGTTCCATTGTGTTTTGTTGCAAGGGATTAACACTTTGCGATGCAAATCAGTGATATCGCGTCGATTTCAGCGCAATATTTGTTGAAATGGGTGACATGTACACCGTATGTAGACGGTATCGGTCGCAATAAAGACATCGGCTGAATTCTGTGTCGCACGTATAATTCATGTTTTACGAGTGCAATGGCATTCCCAGCTCGGTTACAAATGCACAACGGGCATGCATAACGAGTATACAGTCCGATGCGAGCCACGCTCTCTGTGGGAAACGCTCGGCCCTCCTTTCATCTGTTACAAACTATATCGCTATACCGTTGTATCGGTTAATACGGATGAACGTTCTTACCTTATTCGAGTTGCAACAAGTTTCTACTTACTGGTACAAGTATCCATATTTTCTTTTTCGTTTTTTCTTCTCTGTTTTTTCTCCCTTTTTACGCGCTAGCAGTGATAAGAAACTCAATCTCATTGCAATATCCTTTTCCTTGTTTTAATAATTGTTGTTGGCGTCTGTTGATCTTGTTGGACGAGTAAAATGTTTCAGAATGTTGCTTTGTAGATATATAATTGGATTATATTTTGTATTATTATTGGTATTATTATTGGATTATATTTTGTATTATTATTGGTATTATTATTGGTATTATATTACGTATTATTATATAATTATATTATATATTAATAATATTATTAATATATACAATATTATATATAAACAATATTATTAATATATAATATATTATATATTAAAATATAATTGTATTATATTATATATATTATATTTTATATTAATAATATTATATTATGTATGAACATATAATTATATTATATTATATATATTATATTTTATATTAATAATATTATATTATATATTATAATTATAATATATTATATTATATATTATCGGTATTATTATATCTTATTTACGATTAGCGTAATAGTATTTTGCTAATGCAGCTAGTATTTTGTTGTAGTGAGTAAAGAGACAAGAATTTTAAAAGGTTTTATTTTCAGTTCCAAATTAACGCTTTGCATTTTAATAATTGTTAGAATAAATAGAATTTTAATCTTAGTTTGTGCCAAAGGCATCGCCATTATTTTTTAATAATATTCTAATTTTTATTAGATCGATGCATAATAAATGTTGCTTCTTTTTTTCTGAGATGAAATTTTAATAGTTCCTTCACATCATGTACTTAATCAAAATAATTTCATCAATTTTTCCGACGATCAACTAATTTAATTAATTTAAATTTTTAGAATTATCAATTTTACAATTGAAATGTTCTTGGAATAAAATTGTTTCTCGTGAATAATTGACCAGTTGAAGTAGTAAATTTATGTTTCCAGCAATTGTCATGACAGTCTGCTTGATGTAAGAATAATATTCTGTTTTGAAATTTAATTTTCTTATTATAAATTTTCGTGAAATTGAATATACTTGTTTCGTTATCAATCGACGATAGAATAAAATTTAGTGTTAGTACATCGTTAAATTCGAACTCTAAATAAACACCGCTACTCTAATACACACACATTCATTCATTTTATATTCAAATTTTTTACATTCAGTGATCGGTAATTTTACAAATTTTGATAGCCAAATGAAAAACGAAATTAACCTTCCTAGTATCTTACAATCTTTTTTACATCCTTCCTAGAACAGCTATTTAAAACTACACAGCGTTGCTCGCGCTATATATAGAAACAGGACGTGTAAAAAACGCTAAACATACATATTACTTTTTAGTAAAAAACATTTTCTGTTGCAAAAACTTATTTTGTAAAAATAACACCTTATTACGAAAAGTCATGTTGACTGATATTTAGTTTTATATCGATTAATTTAACAAATAGACCAATATTTTTTTATTTTTTACTTGAAAATATCGTGAATTTATTATCCACTTTCATAAGATTTGTATTTTTGTAAATTCATCACGTTATTTCTTTTTTTGTGTTTATTTCATGCGAGAATACTTTTTAGCCATTATGTGGTATAAAAATCAGAAATTTAACAAAATTGGACTTTTGTGCAACTTTCATTTGTTGCAAATGGAAAATAAATACTTTTACTAGTTATTTTTAATTGTGTTTACTAGTAATTTATACTAATTTTTTTGAAAATAATATCGTAATGTAATATAATCATACATCGTGTAATAATATTATACATTATAATATTATTTAACTACATTAATATTATTATAATATTATTTAACTACATTATAATATAATATTATTATAATATTATACACTAACATATTTTGAGAATAGTATCGTAATGTAATATAATTATATATCGTGTAATAATATTATACATTATAATATTATTTAACTACATTAATGTTACTATAATATTATTAACATAATTAATATAATACTATAATAATATAATTAATATATTTAATATAATACTATAATATTAATATAATTATTAATACTATAATATTAATATAATTAATATAATACTATAATATTATTTACATTATGATATAATATTATTATAATATTATACACTAATAATAATAAATAATATTAAAATTTATATACACTGTGCAATAATATTATACACTAATATTAAAAATAATATTATTTAGCTATATAGTATAATATTAGATACTTCACTACTATTTATAGGTAATTAGAACAGTTAGTTTATCAGATAGTTTGCTACAATTAATAATTCAATTTACTGAAATACAATACGTTGATGAGTTTTACAAAAATGTTTCCAATATCTTACACTACCAAGTTGAAACTGAATCGAAGTATTTGCAGCAAAAAAAAAAAAAAAAAAAAAAAACCGCGGTATATCCATCCTATCATTGCAACAGATTTAAAATGAAAATTATAGAAAATCTTCCGCAGCCACACAAAAAAAATTTCTTCCTCGAAGACGCGCGATCGACCGAACTTATTTTTCTTTCATCGATCAGTCTTTCTCTCTGACGTCGAAACACTTCTGCAGGATTATTTTCAAATCCGGCGGGATGTCATCAGAAATCATCTCGAACCATCGTCGTCGACTCGATTTTTCGAAGACAGGTGGAGCAGGGAGGCGACGCTTGTCCCTTGGTGTGCGCGTACAAGGTGGAGGAATGCAAAAGTCAGCACCGGGACTCGCGCTCGCTGTTTACCGATCTTAATTAGGGACAAAACGAAAGGGTTGGGAAAGAAAGCGGTGGGGTCCGCGCAAGTTGACAAGAATCGGCTTTTCGAATGACCGGCTTCGTGCGTCTTCGGCGGTTGTCGACGCTCTTCGTGCCACTCTTAACTCGTGCACCCGCTGCCGCCACTCAGTCGTTGACGCGCGCTCGTTTGGTTTGCTTCGGGTATTAATGGTGCTTCAACATCCACGAGAGAGCTTGACGGTCCAGGTCCAATACAAAGGAGCTTGTGCTTGACCTGCATTCCATTCAGAAAGAAATAACCATCGCGGCATGCGCTCGATCACGAGGTAAGACGAAGATGGACACTTTTTTCTCTTTCTTTTCTTTTCTTTTTTTCTTTGGAAGAAACGACGTCATTCAAAGTGTAGCCCCTGTCAGGATTTCCTTTGGAATAAAAAAAAAAAAAAAAAACGACGTTCGAACGTGGCAAGTGTTCGCCACCTCCTGCCTCGATCTTCGACATTTCCTTCAAACCTGTTTCTCTCTTTTCATCGTTAGTCTCGGTTCAATCGTGGCCCGGCGTTGTCAAACAGCGTTGACTGCAAGTTCATTCATTCGGCAGACGGCCGAAGGGAGGAGCAGGAAATATCGAAAATCCATAACGCTCGGGCGCTAGCGTAATAAATCTCCTCGCTCCTGCTGTAACCAATTGTCGATCTCTCGCCGAGTTTGTTCGTTTCACTATTGTCGAAATATTGATTGCCTCGTCCGGTGTCGTGTCCCACCTCCCCTCGAGGATCCTCCTTGAGGAGGATCCCCGAGGAACGGAAGGAAGCAACGGTGGCTAAATGTACAGATATCTTCGTCGAATCGAATTTGTCTCTCGCGTATCGCCACGAGAAACGGCGCCGTGGCCTCTGTCGTCCCAAGCCTCGGTCAATATTGACTCTGGCTCGAGCCAAAGCCCATCGTAATAAATTATTGACTTCGTGGAAGCCGGGCCAGCGTGCACGGAGAACGTCCTGCACAGTTAATTGTCCTCGGCCGTTTCCTTTCGATACTGAAAATACCCCGAATAGAAATGATAGGGAAATTGCACGCCGTAAATCATTTTTACGGCGTGGATTATCGTCGCTCGCGACACGACAACATTGATAGCACCAGGGGATCGATTGGATTGGGGAAAAAGTGGGCGCGGAGTTATCCTGGCAATATGTTTCCAGTTTGATGTACCCTATCTTTTGAAGAAGAAAAAAAAAAAAAAAACATTAATTGGCTCGGCGAGCCAAGTTGAATCAGAGGTACTGTTGTTAAAGTTTCACTTCTCTTTGGACAGGGCGATCTATTAATTTAGGTTATTGTGTTCGCGTTTTGATACTTGAGTGTAGTTGAGTACTTTGATTGAGCTACTTGGAATTCTTTATTGTTGATACACACAGTCTTATTTTATGCACAGATAGAAATTATGTTCGCGAGACTTTCTCTATGATTGATAATAAATTTGTGGCAAGTTTTCGAAATTTAAGTTCAATTCAGTCGGAGAACATTTGAAACGTGAATTCTTTATGTAAACGCATGTTTCGTGATATGATACAGTATGACATAACTAAAAGAATCGTATCGTTGAAATATTGTTCCACGTATTAAATTTCTGTCTTTATATTGATTTTTGTACAGTCTGTGCAATTTAACAGATGGTTGCATGTAATATTTAGTAAATTATTTAGATATTTTTTTTTGGTAATGGGATAATAGACAAAGTAAAATTTGCAAAATATGATCAAAAAGACATGATTATTAAAAGAAGTTTCCATGATTATTATCAAATTTAAATATTTATCCATTTATAAATATCTAAAAATATCTAGAGTACGTATAGTATCAAAATATTGAAAATCTACAGAACATCTCTACTCATTTCTCATAGTCTTTTAACTAAAAAAAAAAAGACACAATTTTGTGCAAATATCAATAGAAATTAAATATCAAGTTTAACCCGTTGCGCTGGCAAACTGATTGCGGACCATAACGAGCGACCGCACCGTACACAATAATTCGTCGCTTTTTTTTGTTTCCTTTTCAACTCGTACATCTAACACTGGATAGAAACTATTAAGAAGTAATAAACATATCACTCGTTTTGCCTGTGTTACATTTAAACATACTCGAAACTAAGAAACTGTGGCAATTTTTTAAATCCTCGACTTGCACGTCATTCCAGCGCAAAGAGGTCAAATCGCTGTCTAGTATATTCTAGACAATTAGTATCAGTATCCAAATCAACAGACGTAACGTTCTCGATCGTTCGTTTCCAACAGTGTTAATCGACTCGACTCGTCGATAAAAATTCCAAACGCGTTCGATTTTGTTGGCAATCGACGAGACGAGGTAGTTGGATTTTCATAAGCGTGCCGTAATTTAACGTCCGTTCTGAAAGGTGTAAGCGCACTGTGCACTTCTTTCTTTTCTGTTTGGTTCGTCGGCACTCGATACACGATTCGGAGGGGTCGCCCACGCAACGAGACACGTACGTGCACACGAGGCATACGTATACTAACCACTATCGCTATATTATGCTTCTCGGTTCTCTCGCTCTGTGTGTGCCAGCGATTTACGGTAAGGGCACCGTCTGCTTTGTGTGTTAGTCACCGACCACGGGGGGTGAAAGAGACTGGCAGGACTCGGTTCTACAGCAGGGGAAAGAAAGAAAGGAAAAAAGAAAAGTGAGACGCGAGAGAAAGAAGAAAAGACGTGGAGCACACGCGTAGACGATCGAACGCGTTTAGCAGGCTCGTCGCGGATCGGTTTTTCATTATCTACAATGGCGTGTAACTCTCGTAGCAAGTGACCGGTTGCAAGATTTCACACGTGTATTTTCGTATCACGAATTACGAATCGTATCGTTGGATGTGGCAAAAGTCTAAATTATAAATTATATTGAAAGAAAAGAGAATTATATAAATTGTATAAATTATATTTAAAATGCTAAAATGTCCCTTGTGGGACATTGGTCTTTAAATTTTGGAGTCGACTCGTTTTCTTCAAATGAGTGAAAGTAAGTAAGTTTGTTTCTTGAGAACACCGATCTTGTACTTATGTCAAAAAAAAAAAAAAACGGAATTTCCATAATTCCACAAATAATACCAATTTATTGATTAATAATTTTTTTATTACGTTTATAAATATTTATAATAATTTTATTTACTTTAAATTCGTATTTTATTGAAATTAAAGGTAAATAAATTTATATTAAAAAAGTTTATATTAAAATATAAAATTATATAATAAATTTATGTTAAAAAAGACATTAAAGTGAAAGAAACGATAACTTTATAGTACAGTAGAGTATGTTTTACGAGAAAGTTATTTAAAACACTAAAAATGGGCTGTTTTACATCTGTAAAATGTCTAACAAAAATTATAAATTAGTAATTTTGACCATTTTGGTAATTCTAAGTAGTTAAAAAATTGGAGTTGATTAGTTTGAATTCTGAATGTATATGTTCTATTTCGAAACTGCTTATAATATTAAATATTAACTTATAATATTATAATATTAAAAAATTTAATAGTTTGATTAACATATTCTGTGTAAGACATTAGTATAAAAAAAATTAAAGTTAATACAGTGTCGTTGCTCTTTCTATATTCATGACAATATTATTTCCATGTTACACACGTGTCGTTTACGCGAATTAGAATCTCCATTTTTATTAGCAGAACCACACGATTATAGGTATATTGCGTATATATCGTTAGAAATATAAGATCTGACGATGATTATGCTTCAATGATGGGAACTGTGAGATTGAAATCTTGCGATCCTCGATAACTGTATACGATACATCACGAGAAATCTCAATATGTCAAATTACATAGCGTCACGATTGCAAAATTCCAACGATAATGCAAATGGCATCTCCGATTGGCTATTCGTGCTTTATTAATGTCTCATTAAATCAATACTTGCAATAAACATCTCGCAATTTCCATATACATGTTCAAATTGATTCCAAATTTTATCAATATAATCGTGACACGTAGTTGTGTCTTATTACATCACTAATGAAAAATCAAAATTTTGTGCAACACACGCAACACGATATGACAAATGTTTAAATATACGTATATACAAATACCGATTTCAACTTTTGACTAGAGATTTTGAATTTTATTATTAATACAAAATAAATATATAGAGTAGAGAATAAGTCCAAGTACAAAGTATTATAAAGTTCTTCTATCTTTTCTTCTTTTTTTTTTTTTTTTTCACTTTACGTCCGATGGAAATTTTTACCCTTCAATCGTCGATAGTTTTAGTGTTAAACTTTCTTTTATCCGCTGTATATTATTCGCTGACAATCTTCACTCCCACGACTTTTAACATCTCTCATCGTTCATCGTTGCAACGATTGAACAATAGATTCATCAGTTTTTACTCACGGCGATTTTCTTAATCACCCTCAACCAATCTCCTTAGCCGACTGAATCGATTTCAAGGCTATCATTCCGAGAAGCATAGCTGCCCGTTTGGTAATTGATTGAGGCAAAAAAAAAAAAAAAAAAAACGTGGATAGATGATTGCTGTTAAAAATAAGGATCGTCGAGCTGTTGCCAACAAACACGACGGTGTTTGTCCTGCTCTGCATGTAATTACTTGTTCCCCACCTATGTCGATCAGGATCGATCACGAGCAGGATACACTTGAATCGAACGTGCAATTATCAGTTGATCGAGAGAGAGAGAGAGAGAGAGAGAGCGCTGTGAAGTATGATTGTTACCTTTGCGTTCGTGGTAGTCGCCTTTCGAATTTGAGAATCGTTCGATAAAGAATTCGTAAGGACATTTGTGGGACTCTAAATCCTTTCACTATGAAAATTTGTAATTGTTTGTAATTAATATTACACGTGATTATTAACGTGAGTATTAACGTTGTAATAAATTACGTCGACCAACTAATGACGTATAGCCATTAATTGTAAAACTGTGTTACTTTTCTGTGCTTGAAAATGATCATTAAAAAGGGGTGGTATGCTTTTTCATATTGGATGCAAACGAATATTTATCATACTTAATTGAAAATTATTATACAAGTCGAGGAAGGGTTTTTATGGTTTTATGGTTTGACTGGAAATTATTGTTTAAGTTGAGAAGATTTTTTATGGTTTTTTTTTAATAAGAGTGAATAAACAAAATGAAGTTTGGCAATTCTTGATACAAAACTTCAAATAGTGTTTAAATAAATTTCGCCAAGAACGAACTTGGAGCACGTGTATATCTGATAAATTTCCAAATTTAATTTTATTGAAAATGAATTGGTCTTTATTTTATATTTTCAAGTTGTTTT